GGGGAGTTTAAGGTACATATTGATTCATTTTTACCCTAAGCTAAAAGCTAAAGATTAAATATTCTGACAAGAGTTACAGAGCGATTGCAACGGTCGCACATGTCGGCATCAGCCAGCTGCCCGCAGCAACCAAACATCTCCGCTGGGAGAATATTGTGGTAGGAAAGGTGAACACGGAGTATTCCAGTACCAATGCACAGCAGAACACAAAGGTCAAATAAATCATGTCATACAATACCGTATAGGAATCTTTTTCTCCGGTTGCGAAAGAGCAGAATTGGACAAAAATTACAAACAGGTGTAGATACGAGCAATCATTCGGCTGATATTCGCGTCTCTGTGTAACATTTTCCACACCAAAAGGAGCAGCACAATATCCATTGAATAAAAGAAAAAAAATGCAGCAGAGAATGGTTTCAATTTTCTTTGTTTTCCACAGTACGATTGTTCGGGTTTGGTGCCGGTCTGTGTTCTCCCAAGTGTCATTTCCTTATGGGTGATGTATAGTTAACTAATGCCTTACTTCAAGCAAGATTTCGAGAAAAAAGCTTTTATTCCATTTCTTTCCCATCACTGAACTTCTCACTCGCTTCGAGACAAAAAAAAACAAAAGTGTCCGCTTTGAGTGTGTTGTGCAGAACATTTCACCCCAAGAAATATCTATATTTGACGGCAAATCCATTAAAGTCAAATACCATTGTTTAGTGCTTAATGGGGGGAGCCGGCTGAAGGAACATTTGTTTGTGGTGTTCCCGTTTGTGGTGTTTGTAGCACTGAGTGTCACTTTAATCTGTCAATTGCAAAAGGGCATCAGACTTTTAAATTCACAATCTTGAACTCTGTGTGTGTGTGTGTGTGTGTGTGTGTGTGTGTGTGTGTGTGTGTGTGTGTGTGTGTGTGTGTGTGTGTGTGTGTAAAAAAGTCAATGAGCCTGTGCATACTAGCAAATGGCTGCACGAATGCACTTATGAATATTTTGGGGAGAGTCTGCGAGCGTGCATGAATTAGTAAGCGACTGTGAGTGTGTGAGTCACCGTTGTGGCGGAGATTAGTGCGACAAAGCGTGGCCACAGAGCTTGGACCATCTGGAAAGGGATGACAGCGCAAACAGTACGATTCAAGGAAACGCTCATGGGCTCTTGTTTTGTTCTTTTCCACTAACTGATGCTTGTCAACATTTTAATCATCTGAGAGTCAAGTAAGGTGACAGCTCACATACACACACACATACACACTTTGCTGTTAGTCCGACTTGGAGACTGCTTAATGACTAATAGAAAAAGGAGCGCTCCAAATTAATCATCATGCAACACTCCAAAGGCAGGTAAAGCCAAAGTTCCTCTTGACCGTTGTTTCCCCATGGCTGCATTGTGTTTTTCCGGAAAAATTCTTCATCGTGAGCATCAGCCATCACTTTCCCACTCCCTCTCTCTCAAGCGCACATATGTTCTCTATTTCGGACACTGCGTACTTTTGAATAAATGCGATAGGTTAACCGATTCCCAGATCCCTTCCCCGCATTTATTGCTCAGCGGTGGATGTGGAGAGCAGATGGGAGATAGGGAGCATGCAGCAGATTGGAGATTGAATGAAGCGGGAGGGCAGGTGGGAGAGAGGTGAGCTGAAGCAATGGCGCCATTAAACGCATCGGACATATGGGAGGTGTTGAAGAATGTTTCGGACAAAATGTCTTCCGGGAGGTCAAAGTACATCCTTGGAGGCGCATGATGATGTTAGGTTATTTGAAGGACTTTGGATTCTAGTTTTCCCAGCAGCTCCACACTGAAATGTTGAAATATGATCTCTAAAGCTGTCGTTTGGTAAAATAGAAAAAAAAAATGCATTGGGGCTTGGTCCCTAAACCCCACAAAGGGCAAAAATTTGCAAGGAATTGAAGCTACTCCCACAATTAAAAAAGAAAAAAACGTTTATAGTCATAGCTTGAACCGATAGACCCCAAACTCATCTTAAGGTATTTATTTATTTTGAATGGCCTCCAGTTGATTTAATTTAGAAAAAAAAAATGATTACACTGGTCAACAAGTTTTTGTTTTCAACATAATATCGCCTTCGAGACAATGTTCTGACTCCAGGCCATCTCAGTCGGGGGGGTCGCATGTCGTCGCTGCCACCAATAGCGGCATAGCAACGGTGTGCTCCCATGATAAGTAAGAGTCACTTTTTAATTTTGGGGTTGATGTTATCGCTTTTAAACGGCGCGCCGACGACTATAACATAATCAGTCAGTGTCACATAAATGTAATTTCTGCTGATGGATCCGATACAGCAACAAGATTAATGAAAGTAAGAGTAACAGTAGGCGCTAATAATAGTAAAAAGTACGGCATGTCACCAAGTCTGACCGAGATTTGCCTTCGGCTCACTTCCGCTCGCGCGTTCCCTTCATTTAAATGACTCGCATTTGCCTAATTTAGTATGAAATTAGACGCAGAAATCTGATCAGATCTTGTCAGATAGGCTTCTAAAGTGTGACTGTGTCTAATTGGGGGTGCAGAGCCACGAAAACATTGGAGAAATCCCAATTTCAAGAGCCAGCTTGTGATCCGGCGAGCGGCAGCTGCTTGCTGGGCCTGTTGGCTGTGAGAGCTATCCGTGGTCCTGAAAAGAAGACTGACAACCTGGCTTTTGCTGATTCATCCGATCCAAAATGTCTGACTGAAAGCGAAAGTGTACAAAAACTGAAGCAATACATCGCACAGGAAGTCATGTAAACCCAAAAAAATTAGTTACAGATACCCAAAGGTATGAACAATAATTACATTTGACTATATAGAAATACGGACAACCTTCAACCGTATGAAAACTGAGCGGATGTAAATAAAATGGACCAACATGTTGGTGAGGAAAAAAAATGGTCAAAAACCCAATTACCTTATAGCTCAATGACTGAGCCCAGATACAGCAGCACAAAAAAAAATGGTGATTTTTCGCCAAGGTTCGTTCAAGGTAGCAACAATCGCAAAAACGCTGCCCAGACGTTCACCATCAGATTTAATGGTTGCAGACGGTTTGTCTTCTCTTGTCTTAGCCATATTGAACATGCAACGAAAAAAACTTTAGGGCCTCAATGTAAACAACAAAAGTCAAAATGCAACAAAAACTATCATTACGAAAAGAAAAAAAAAACTGCAAACTACACAACGAAAAATGCATCAGTGTTCTCCCTATAAAAAGGTAGAACCTGATCCATCTCAAATCATTTTGAGATTCCGTGACTGCATTTCCTTCCTTTGCGTCGCTAGTGGGAGCGTTACGCAATTAACTACAAGCTCGTGCAAAACTGACTACAAGTTGTAGTTGCGGGGGGGGGGGGGTCTGCAAACACGAGCCGACGCGATGACGTCGAAAAAAAAAAAAAGAAATCGTACAGCCAGCATTACTGCCGGTTGCATCATCATCATCATCATCATCATCATCATAGCACACCAGCGTGGAAAATATGCACGGAGAGAAAGATGAAGCGTAAGCAGACGCCTTTCTCTCTCTTTCTCCGGTCTGCAGACGTCATCCTCACTCAACCCCGCTCAGTCACCTTCTCCGCCCCCCCCCCCTTGTGGGTTTGAGCTCGATTACCGCTTATTGAGCGACAGGTCTTCCGGGAAGGTTGTTTTTGATCGCCCAGAGCTCCCTTTGACACGTCTCGAACCCACTCGGGAGACACACAGAGAGGCTCCGCGGTATTGTTTTCAAGTCAGACGCCGTTTGACAAATGAATACCTTTGATGCACCCGAGGCGACTCGACTGTTGCTTGTCAAACAGCCCGCAGACGAACACGCGGTTGTTCGGATCAGTGTGCTTGAGTCCACCACGGGACAGCACACGAGAGGCTCCAGGGCTTTTTACTTCACGCCGCCTTTCAGCGTAGTGTGGGGCTCTGGTGCCCCTTAACGGGGGGATGGGGCAACTGCCGGTGGCTACGATGCAGGGATGCCGCTGTGCGGCATCCGCTGACCTCCAAGTGTTTAATACAGGCGAGGCGGTCAGCTTTTCTCCAGTGAAATCTGGTGAGGACGCGAGCGAGACTTAAAAAAAAAAAAGAAAAAGAAAGAAAGCAAATAACGAGGGTTTGCTTGATGACTCAAGTTTGGTTCACCCGGTGGGTGGAATCATTTCAATCAGGGAATATCGCCGAAGCTCATGCACATTCCCACTCACTTGAGGATGATGTGCCAAAAGTTTTGGGAGAGTGGGCGAGCGCAATGGCGTATTGCTACCGAATCCTCTCGGGCCTCATCAATGCATGGATTTTGCGAAGTATAAATACCATGTCAGATATATGATGGAAAGAGACAAGACTATGAGAAAAGAAATGGGGGAAGATTACAAAAAAAAGAGCCGTTGAATGACTGCGTTAGAAATGCATTCACGAAAAAAAAAAAAGTGGGGGATCTTCTGACGTCTGAAGGCGAAGGGGGATTGAAAAGAAGGACCCCCCCCCTCTCTCTCTCTGCACACACGGTGCTGAACGCCTGCTTGCACTTTTTTTTTTTTTTTTTGCTTAAAATACAGCTACTCACTGCAGGTCTTTTACTGCTTTGAACCAGGCGGCGTGTGTGTTTTTACAACCAACCTTTACATTTGAACACAACTCATTTTCTAAGTTGACTTATTTTAAAACCCCCCCTGCAACTCCACTGGGAACATCTTGTTGCAATTCAACAGTTACCAAACGATACCCAGCAGCAGCCACCTCCGTTCTGTGAATGCGACGCATTTTTTCAAGCTTGGCTGCTTCGCATTTCACAAAATAACCCCAATAGTTGGGAACCCCCCCCCCCCCCGAGTGCAGCAGCCACCTGACGCATTCATGTTAGTTGCAGCAACACGAGGCGCAGCCTGATGCGTCTTAATGAGTGTGTGTGGTGCTAATTTGCATTCACTCTGTGATGTGTGTGTGTGTGTGTGTGTGGGGGGGGGGCGCTGGGGGGGAATAGCCTGCCGCATTTTACATGACTTCAGCCCTTCTACGGGAACTCACCCTTCACCGACGCGCTCACAAGCCCCACGTAGAGCACAAGCATCACCCGGCTCCACCGACGCGCTCCCCCTCTCATGACAGCGAAAATCCCAATCCGGTCGCCTCTCTGGCGGGCGCAGTCCGGTCCCTTGGCGGGTCCCGTGGCCCCGTCCCGGCTCGAAGCGGTGTCCATGACAAAGCTTGCTCTCGGGCGCGACACACTCGTAATAGTTCTCAGATGGTCAGAAAAGGGCGATTCACTCGGTAACGGTGCTGAGAAAAATCCCAATGCATGGAGGAGGAGGCTCGGATCTCGCAGCCGGATTGGACCATGTCTTGCAGGCACCGAACGACTCAGTCTCTTTCAACGGGGTATATAGATTTCACACCTGGGGAAAAGAGAGTGCGAGGGAGGGGGCAAGGGGAAGCGGGGGATCGACAAACCAAATGAGACGCTTCAAGTGGAAGCTGGTCGACTCCACACACGGAAAAAAAAAAAATCTCCTCGTACAGGCACGAAACGCGTCAAAAGCAGAGCGTTCCTCCTCCGGCTGGTCGCGCAGCTCCTAAATCTCGATCCAGACAGTCAGCATTTGCAGGCATGATAATCCACCTTCAACTCGGTTCACATACAAATGAGCGGACGCCGATGGAGGTTCGGGATCCGGGAACGGCAGAATAAAAGCCCTTGCGGAAAGTTCTCGGCCCAGCATCTGTGCGCAGAAATGACGAGATCTCGATGTGCGGATGGGGGGAAAAAATGAATAAATACTAAAGCGGCAATTTGTAATTATTCCAAGGATGGTCAATGTGGCGTCTGACAGCGTCGCCTCGGCTCTGTGTGACGCCAAGATCAGACTGCAGACCTTCTCTCTCTCTCTCTCTCTCTCTCTCTCTCTCTCTCTCTCTCTCTCTCT